TTAGCCGAGTTTGTTGATCAGTAGACATTCGTAGTTCACCCCTATAATTCAAAATATTTTGAAATGATTGGATCGGGAACATTATATTTCAAAATAATTTGAAATGTCAACAAGGAATTACGCCGCGAAGATTATCGGGTATCCCTGGAACGAATAGAAGAGGAGACCAATACGTACGGTAGTACGACAATCCCAGAAAAAATCCCCTCTGAGCAAACGGCAGTGCGCTTTCCTGCACTTGTCTGCTCAAAGGGGATTTTGTTATGGAGCGGAGCTCCTTCTGTTCCTTGCCTGAACTTATACGTCAAACACGAAGTCGTCGTCGGACAGCGGCTCGATGTTGATCGCGCGGACGTAGCCGTTGCCTTTTTTCGAGAAGAAATCATGCTGCTTGGTGTGGGTGCTGATCCCGTTGAAGACGATCGGGTTGATCGGCTCTTCCGGGAAATGCGGCTCGAAGCCGAGATTCATCAGCGCTTTGTTGGCGTTATAGCGGACATAGGTTTTCACTTCCTCCTGCAGTCCGATCGGGCTGTACAGGTCATCCGTATATTTCACCTCGTTCTGATACAGCGTCTCAAGCAGCTCGTACAGCTCCCGGCGCAGCTCCTCCTGCTCTTCGAAAGAGAACTCCTGGAACAGCTCCTGGGCCAGCGTGCCGACATACAGGCCGTGAATGCTCTCGTCGCGGATGATCAGGTCGATGATTTCGCCGCTGCTGGTCATTTTGCCCTGGCCGGCCAGGTAAAGCGGATAGAAGAAGCCGCTGTAGAACAGATAGCTTTCCAGGAAGACGGAAGCGGCCATCGCCTTGTAGAGATCGCGCTTGGTTTGAATGTTTGCGTACCAGGATTCGATGCTCTTCGCTTTAAACTGCAGCTGCTCGTTGTCTTCCACCCAGCGGAAAATGGCATCAATCTCCTCCGTCGAGGCGAGCGTGGTGAAAATGCTGCTGTACGATTTGGCGTGGATTTGCTCCATCATCGACATGAATCCGAGCACGGCTTTGCGCTGCAGGCCTTCCACATGCTCCAAAATCTTCGGCATGCCGACGCCGCCCTGCAGCGTATCCAGCAGCGTCAGTCCGCCAAGCACATGCTTGTAGGCGGTGCGCTCCTCATCGGTCATTTTGATCCAATCCATTTTATCGTCGGACAAAGGGATTTCGTCGTCCGTCCAAAACTGCATGATGTTCTGCTGCCAGAACATGAGCGTAAAATCATCGTCGGGCCGGTTCCAGTTTACTGCTTTCATCAGACCATTGCTCCTTTTATAGAAGAAGGCGACAGGGGCTGTTCAAGCCCCCGCCGTCGCCTTGCGTAATATTCGAATTTAGACAGCGCAGCTGGTGCACTCTTCGATGGACAATTTTTTCGTCCGGGTGTAGTACAGCGATTTCAGCCCCTTCTGGGCGGCGTAAATATAGAAACGGGACAATTCCCGGGTCGATACGGTACTGTTGACGTGCAGCACGGTGGAAATGCCTTGGTCCACATGCTGCTGGATTTCCGCGATCATGTCGATCAGGCGGAACTGGTCGATATTGTAGGCCGATTTATAATACCACTGCGTTTCCGCGCTGAGGAACGGCATCGGGTAATATGTCGTCGAGTTGGCGTAGGTACGTGTTTCGATATGTTCGACGATTGGCATGACGCTGGATGTCGCGTTCTGGATATACGAGATGCTCTGCGTCGGCGCGATCGCCAGACGGTAGGCATGGTACAGTCCGTGCTTCTGCACAAGCGCCTTGAGCTGCGCCCAGTCCTCAGGGGACGGGATCTCAATGCCTTCAAACAGCTGCTTCACGCGTTCCGATTGCGGCCGGAAGTCCTTTTCGAGGTAGCGGTCAAAATAGGTACCCTTCGCGTACTCGGACTTGTCGAAGTCCCGGAACGTTTCGCCGCGATCGCGCGCGATTTCCATGCTTTGCTCCAGCGAGTAGTAGTTCATCATCATGAAAAAGGTGCTCGCAAACTCGCGTGCTTCCGCGCTCTCGTATGCGATTTTGTTTTTGGCCAGGTAACCGTTCAGATTCATGGCTCCGAGGCCGACGGAGTGCAGCTCCTTGTTGGCGAGGCTCACGCCCGGCGCGTTCTCCACGCGGGAGTGATCGCTGACGACCGTAAGGGCCTCGATGCCGACACGGACCGATTCCTTGATTTTTCCCTGCTCCATTACGTTCACGATGTTCAGCGAGGCCAGGTTGCAGCTGATGTCCCGGCGAATCACATCGTCGACACCGTAGTCGTTAATTTCCGAAGTCTCCTGCAGCTGGAAAATTTCCGTGCACAGGTTGGACATTTTGATCTGGCCGACATCCTTCAGCGCATGCACCTTGTTGGCGTTCGATTTGTTCACGATGTACGGATAACCGGACTCGAGCTGGATCGAAGCGATTTTCGTCAGCATGTCACGGGCGCTCATGACGGTTTTCTTCGTCACCTGGTCATTGGCGAGCAGCTCGTCGTACATTTCGTCCATGTCCAGGTCGTCCAGATGCTTGCCGTAGGCTTTGTATACCGAGTAGGGGCCAAAGACCACAAGCGGCTTGTTCTGGGCGGCGAGCTCGTAAAACTTGTTCGGGACAATCAGCCCGATCGACAGCGTCTTGATGCGCAGCTTCTCGTCGGCGTTGATTTTCTTCGAATCGAGGAACTCGATGACATCCCAGCCGAAAATGTTATAGTATCCGGCACCCGAGCCTTTGCGCTGGCCCATTTGGTCGGCATAGGAGAACGCGTCCTCCATCAGCTTCAGCACCGGCATGATGCCTTTGGCCGCTCCGGCCACGCCTTTGATCGGTTCGCCGCGCCCACGCAGCTTGGACAAATTGACGGCGACGCCGCCGCCGATTTTGGACAGCTGCATGCAGGTGCCGAGCACGTAGTTGATCGAATTGAGCGAATCGTCCATTTCCAGCAGGAAGCAGGAGACCAGCTCGCCGCGGCGGCTTTTGCCGGCATTGAGGAAGGTCGGGGTCGCTGGCTGCAGCCGCTGCTCGATCATCGCTTCGGCGATACGGAGCGCTTTACCGATATTCCCTTCGCCCAGGTACAGCGCCACGATGGCGACGCGGTCCGGGTACTGCTCCAGGTACTGCTTCTTGTCGTTGGTTCTCATCGCATAGTCCTTGTAGAACTTCGAGATCGCCATGTAGGACTGGAATTGGAAGTCGCTGCTCGCCGTCAGGTTGAACACGGACTCGACTTCGTCGTAGGTGTAATGCTCAAACACGTTTTCATAGTAGTCGTTGCTAATAAGGTAATCCAGCTTCT